CACACACACACACACACACACACACACACACACACACACACACACACACACACACACACACACACGAACACACAGTGGCAGCGCGCAAGGTGTCGTTCAAGGGCTACCAGCTGACTGTGCTGGCGCTGCAGAACGACGAGATCGTGGGCAAGGGCATCCTTGAATCTGGGAGCCCCTTCGAGGCTGACACGCTCGCCTACATGATGGACTTCATCAAGCCAGGGTCAACTGTGGTGGATGCTGGTTGGTGGGTGGGGGGATCACTGGGAGGAGGGGGAGGTGAGAACTGGAGGTCCAAAAGAACGCAGGTGCATAACGGGAGGTAGAAGGTTCTGGTTGACATACACAGTGGATGCTGATTGGGCATTGGGCGGATTCAGTCACGATGAGTGCAAGCCGTTCCTCACACTCTTTTTTGTTCTGTCGCTCCAGTTGCCTGACCCCTGCCTGTTACTTATCGCGGGCCCCCGTCCGGCTGCAGCAACTTTGGCTCTTACTCGGTGTTCTTTGCGGCAAAAACGGGGCCTGGTGGTGCGTTGCACTGCTTTGAGCCCCAGCGCAAGATGGCTCAGGTGAGGCCAGGATGATGCGTGACAGGGGAGAGGTTTGTATGCTCGATGCAGGACGCGACAGGGTGGCGCGACTTCTGGCACACTTGGCATCCTGCAGGGTTACGGTTTGGACCTGTCACATCAGTGTGGGGTGCGTACTCACAATCTCAGCGGCGGCATTGTGGTTCGCAAGTGCACCTCAAGCCCAGCTGAGCGCAACCCTTGCACCACATCCCTTGCCGGCTGCTGGACCTCGCTCGCTTTGTGCACGATCTATGTTAACACCGCCACCTACTGCAGCTGGCCAACGCCAACGCCGTCGCCAACGGGCTGACACCCATAATGACGGTCCACAACAAGGCTTTGTCCTTTGCAGCGGGCAGCGTGGAAATGGCTGCCAAGTGGGCACCACTGCACACGGCACGTGCTGCTCGCATGTCAATCAGACATACGCTGCACGCCTTACGGGGCATGCCTTGTGTGTTGCACTCGCATCCGGCGGCTACAACGGCGTCCAACTGCTGCTTTCCACGCAAACCGCTGGGAGAAAACAGTGCTTGCTTGTCGCGCCTCTGGCCCTCGTAGGCAGCGTTTCTGATTGATTGGTAGTCTCTGCTGCACTTGTCAAACCATGACCTGCCGCACTCACGCGGGCAATCTTGCCAACCGGGGTCGTCCCAGGCTTCCTGATGGCAGCCACAAGGACCAGTCTATGGCGGAAGTCGAGGCTCAGCACGGTGGCATCAACTATGGTGCGAGCTCCTCTCCTCTGCGATCCCTGTATTGACAACCGCTCTGCAGCTGGTCCGCATCCATGATTGCGTCTTGCGTCGTGGGTCACCTGCACCAAGTGCGCATGGAGCAACAAGAACATTTTGGGGTGAACGACCGCACTTGACACACGTGTCAACAGCCTCCCTGCTGCTGCAAACATCACCCTTGTCATCACCAATGGCCACGCCCTCCCTGACACCACTCCGCCACCCTAGGCGGCTTGGCGCTGGGCAAGGGTGGGGAGCATACTTCGGCCATCACACTGGACTCCCTCGGGCTTCAAAACGTGTCCTTCATAAAGGTCTGCAAACAGGGTTGGTGCAGAGCGTGAGGCTTTTAACGTCAGGAGGCTTGGGTTGTGTTGAGGGGCGTTTGTGCACGCACTAATGAGTCTGTGGCATTGGTGATGCGGCCATCATTGCCCTGTGAGCCGCCTTTTGCTCTTAGCAGCACGCTGAGGTCAGGCCCGACCACCCATGTGTCGCCCACTGAACCCAGGTGGATGTCCAGGGGGCTGAGCAGCTCATGCTGTACGGCGCTCAGGTGGGCCTGGGACATGGTTGACAGGGCGGGGCAGGGCGCAGGGTAGGGGAGGGGAGGGTAGGGCAAGACAGGGCAGGGTGTACTGTCGCGCTTTTGGCCGTCAGCAGCCAGGGCAGCTGCCGGGCAGCGGCGCGCCGTAACGACAGTACAAGGGTGGGGGCAGGGCAGGGTTGTCAGCATCCACTGCAACGTCCACAGGTACGACTCTCTAGCTAAAAAAAGTGCCTTGATTAACTATTAAAATTGGTAGAGCTGCTGCTGCTGGTGCTGCTGCCGGTGCTGCTGCCGGTGCTGCTGCCGGTGCTGCTGGTGGGGCTGCCGCCGTTTCTGACGTCTTCCAAGCGGGCTTGGTGCATTTCATGTGACGCCCACAGTCTCATCAACACATGCTGATCCCCGAGCACCCTTTTCAATCCCCGCGTGTAATGCCCCCTGCGAGCTGTGCTGCAGGAGACCATCAGGCACAGCATGCCTGTGGTGGTCTACGAGCATGTTTTGGGCTGGAACGTGACTCAGGACATGATAGAGACCATGAGGATCCCACAACAGGTGCATGCGGCAAGCGACGCGACCGTGACTAACGCGACCCACTGGGCCCTCGCTGCCGTGCGCCTGGAAGACCTGCTGCTTGGTTTGTGTCCCAGCACGGAGCCGCCTTTTGCCAACACAATCTCCTTGCACCTGAGATGCGGCGGGTCAAGTCTCCTGATGCACTCCCATCC